ACATTTTAGTTTAAATATAATCAGGCAAATGGAAATTCGCTAAGTCTGCAGGTTTTCTGCGGCGGGGGTGTTTAATAATAAGGGAGTAAAAACCGTTTTTAGCCTCTATGGAGTAAAAATCAGCTGTTGTCAACTCAGTTGTAAATTTCGATTGTAAACGATTGCACGTATGGATTCGTGTTTCGTAATAATTTGAACATATAGTCTACAGTCTCTTCCTGTAGCATTTTAGCATTGCAGATACATTAATCCATTCCCACACTCAACACTGCTCACCTTTACTACTTCCTTCACCAACCCCCCCCCCCCCCCTACGTCGTGGACCTGTTTCTCTCTCTTCCCATGGAATTTTAGGATTGCAGATACTTTAATGTAATTGCCAAAGACAGTTCCCACACTCTGCACTGCTAGCCTTACTACTTCCTTCGCCATTTCCTACGTCATAGACCCGTTTCCTTCCTTTCTCATAGCATTTAAGTATTACAGATACATTTATCTAACTGCCCAAACGGTACCCCCACTCTGCACTGCCAGCCTTACTTCCTTCACCACTTCCTACGTCGTGGGGCCTGTTTCCTTCCCTTCTCAAAGCATTTTAGGATTGAAGATACATTAATCTAACTGCCACATACAGATCTCACACTAAGCTCATACTTAAATACTTCCTAAGCCACTTCCTACGTCGCGGACCCGTTTCCCTCTTTTCCCATGGCATTTTAAGACTGTATATACCTTAATATAATTGTCATAAACAGTTCCCACACTCCGGGCTACTTGCCTTTACTACTTCATTCACCACTTCCTATGTCAAGGACCTGTTTCCCTCCCTTCCCATTGCATTTTAGGATTGCAGATACCTTAATCTAATCGTCATAAACAGTTCCCACACTCCAGACAGCTTCACCTTGACTACTTCCTCCCCCACTTCCTACATCGCGGACCTGTTTTCCTCTCTTCCCATAGCATTTTAGGATTGTAGATACCTCAATCTAATCGTCATAAACAGTTTCCACACTCTGGACAGCTCGCCTTGACTACTTCCTTCACCACTTCCTACGTCGCGGACCTATTTCCCTCCCTTCCCATAGCAAAATAAGATTGTAGATACCTTAATATAATCGTCATAAACAGTTCCCACCCTCCAGACAGCTCCCCTTGACTACTTCCTCCACCACTTCCTACATCGCGGACCTCTTTTCCTCCTACGCCCTCAATTCATCCATAGCATTTTAGGATTGTAGATACCTTAATCTAATCGTCATAAACAGTTCCCACACTCCAGACAGCTTCACCTTGACTACTTCCTCCCCCACTTCCTACATCGCGGACCTGTTTTCCTCCCTTCCCATAGCATTTTAGGATTGTAGATACCTCAATCTAATCGTCATAAACAGTTTCCACACTCTGGACAGCTCGCCTTGACTACTTCCTTCACCACTTCCTACGTCGCGGACCTATTTCCCTCCCTTCCCATAGCAAAATAAGATTGTAGATACCTTAATATAATCGTCATAAACAGTTCCCACCCTCCAGACAGCTCCCCTTGACTACTTCCTCCACCACTTCCTACATCGCGGACCTGTTTTCCTCCTACGCCCTCAATTCATCCATAGCATTTTAGGATTGTAGATACCTTAATCTAATCGTCATAAACAGTTTACACACTCCGAAAAACTCGCCTTTACTACTTCCTTTACCACTTCCTACATCGCGGACCTGTTTCCCTCCCTTTCCATAACATTTTAGGATTGCAGATACCTTAATCTAATCGCCATAAACAGTCCCCACACTCCAGACAGCTCGCCTTGACTACTTCCTCCACCACTTCCTACATCGCGGACCTGTTTTCCTCCCTTCCCATAGCATTTTACGATTGTAGATATCTTAATCTAATTGTCATAAACAGTTTCAACACTCCCGACAGCTCGCCTTGACTACTTCCTTCACCAATTCCTACGTCGCGGACCTGTTTCTCTCCCTTCCCATAGCATCATAGGTTTGCAAATACCTTAATCTAATGGTCACAAACAGATCCCACACCACGAACAGCTCGCCTTTACTACTTCCTTCACCACTTCCTACGTCGCGGACCTGTTTCCTTCTCTTCCAATAGCATAATATGATTGCAGATACCTCAACCTAATCGTCACAAACAGTTCCCACACTCCGGACAGTTCGCCTTGACTACTTCCTGCACCACTTCCTACGTCGCGGACCTGTTTTCTTCCCTTCCCATAGAAATTTAGGAAAGCAAATACAGTACCTTAATCTAATCGTCATAAACAGTTTCCACACTCCAGACTGCTAGCCTTTACTACTTCCTTCACCACTTGATTCGTCACGGACCACCTCGACCCGAAGCTAGTGTCGTAATTTCATTATATTTATGATTCATACAGTTTCTGTTCTAATATCTGTGGAATAATGCTCCATCAGCTATTTATTTATCTACTGCATTCAAAAGACAACAGCTGATCGTATGTCTTTGTTTATGTGTCAAATACTGCTTCCATAAGGATTACATTGAAACTTTGAGACCCAGTGGGGCGGATTCCTGAGAGACTTTTTTAACGCCATATAGATGTTGTGAGCCGTGACTAATTCCACCGGCGAATGTCACGACTCGTAATCAACGGTCCAAGTGTTTTTTGTATCGTAGGTTAGTTTAGTGTTTCGGTTTGTTATTTCCCACGACCCTCAACAAGGCTGTGCCTTGTTGTTATTATTTCGACCGCCAAGTGTCAGAGGTTCCGAGATTGTTAAGTGTGGTGCATCGGCATAAATTTTCATCGTTCTACATCCTAATTTTGTGGCATGTTTTACATGTATTATTGCTTTAATTTCATCCTAGTGGAAATTTTGTCGGCCATGGAGTAGTTTAAGGCCGTCTGTGCCTGATGGGTGAGTTTTGCACAATTTTCTGAAACTTAGGTTAGAGCACATGTTGCACTAGGTTTGGAACCTAGTTTCGGGGTAGTGGAGAATTTTTGGTAGTTAGTTTCCCTTTTCTCTGTTGTTTGTAGAATTCAGGGCTTTCCCCGAGATGCTAGGCCTAGAATTTGACTGAGAAATGTTTGTTGGAAGGCCGCTATTTGGGAGAAACTGCCAAGTCAGTTTTTGTCCTTCTGACTGTTTTGTGGTAGGCCTAACCCTACAATTTTGCCTTTTAAATGTAAATGTCTTAGGCTACTACTTCTGGTAGTCTTTTGTTCTGTGTCCCGTAAAATTTCTAGTGATGTTTTGTCTTGTAAATTGTTCAGTTTGTGTTACCCAGTCAAGTACTGTTAAAGTCTTTTATTTTGCTTTGTTCTTGCCAAACTAGTTAAATTAAGTTGAATTAACTGCTCTTAAAGCTCCCCAGAAAGTTTGAGTCATTTTAATCATGTTATAAGAAAGATACAGTAGTTTTTAGTTTGGCAATTCTCCATTCAGGTCTGAACTGGGTAACCTGAAAGGCCACTGGCTTCAGCCTTTGAGTTAAGGTTTGGAATGGTCTGGAAAAGTTGCTGGAACATTTCCCCCAGCTTTTAAGACCATTCCGAACAAATTCTGACAACAACTTTTGGAGAAATTAACAAAAATACATGAGTCGTAGCGTTAGGTCTAAATTTTTTATATGGAACGTTTTTTGTTAATTTTAAAATATTTTTCTGTGTTTAAGTGTCAATTGTTTATTGTTAACTTGTTCTTCTGGCCACTTTGGACCAGGTAATTTATATTTTTTCTCTCTATTGGTGAAATTTATCACTGTCACATATCCATCTGGCCTGCTGGCATTTTTTACCGCAAATATTTAATGTTACCGATCTTGTACTGTTTTATCTGTTAATTGTTTTGTTTAAATTATTGTTATTGTTTAAAATGTTTTACATTGTTAAAGAGCTGTTAAAGAGAGATAAACCTTTTAAAAATCTAGAATCTTTTTTGAAAAAAATATGTTAGGCCTAAACCAGTGACTTTTGGAAGTTAGTGAAAACAGGTAACCTGTGGCAGTGAGTTATGTATGGACTTAGACTGTTACTAGGCTACTGCGTTTCTGGGTTTGTTACTCAGGGCCCGTGAGGAGTGCCTTGGACTTGCACATCAGCCTAGGCGGAGAGGGTCTCCTCTATCTTGGCTAACCTTGCTTAATGGCCGCCTCTCCATCCTGCTTCGTCCCTCCTCCGGTGCTGTCCGCCCAGAACTGAATGTGACCGCCAACTTACCGCAAGTGTTAAACGATCGTTGTTACCTGTTTATATATATGTAGATTTATTTATTTAGTTATTTGAAAGATTCTTTATTACTTGTTATTGCCTTTTAAATTTTTTATATCAAACCAGCCTAGGCCTATATTCCTGTTATTGTTTTTTTAAATTTTATTGAAAAGCCTTGTGAATTTTTAAATAATTTTCAATTCACTCTATTTTTGGGGCCCCTAAATTTTCTATAGTTACCAGCTTCAAAATGCATATTTAAGAAGAAATGTTTATCCATTGTTATAATTTGTTAATTTTGGTACCTAATTGTTTTTAAAAGGTTAAATTTAATTAAATCCTTTGATTTTGATGATTAAAGAAATTACTGTAAGTTAGTAGGCTAGATGGGTAGCCATTTGACTTAAAGTTTTTCTGAGAGTATTTAATTCATGTATTATTGTTAATATTTGTTGTTGCCTATTTAAATTGTTTATTACAGCTCGTTTCTCTCAAATGGCGTGTTGTTCTTGAACCTCCATCCATGGTTCTCATTTTGTTAAGTAAAGTTTTGTGAGCCGCTCCTCGGGCCTGCGCATGGATCACGCTTCCAAGTCGTTAGTCTGGGTGCAGGCACGAGGGCATGGTTCAGTTGGCACTCATCGATATGGTCTTTATCACCATGCAAAATTTGAAAACGATTGATTCAGCCGTCTACGAGGAGTTTGCGTATTACGAAATGCATAAGAGTCGACGTATAAGAGCTTCGCTCAATTAAAGCATTCAGTGAATTTCTGATCTTATATTTGAATGATGGTTTGTTACCTGCTCGTGTGTACAGTCGCCAGGTCCTACAGTGTGTCTCCTCATAGTCACATGGTAGTGAGACTGTGACTTGTCCTCATATTTTACTTTGCTATTCTCCTCATAGCCTTCAGTGTCTACACTCTCCACGTCCTTAAACTGTAAACACAAGCAGTATACATCAGACACCAGACACCCCCAACGACATTCAGTATGCAAAGGAACTTCTAAGTTGAGCCATTATATTCTCTAGGACCCACCCACAATTTAAATAGTTTATTTGTTTCAGATTTGTAAATTAAACTCATATTGTCACAGTGAATTTATTGATGAATTGAAAGACACCTTGGCAAGTTAATTGATCACTTTATTTAATGCAGAGGAACCAACATGAAGACATTTAACTAATAAGTAGACTTTGAACTTTTATTAAGATACTGGTAGGTTCTAAAGTTGCATTTATTCTTACATTAAATTACATTTGTGAATGCAACGATGAAGATGAAGAATTTTGCCACTCATTTTGCTCAGCCAAAAAATTTTCTTGGAATAGTTTCTTTGGATCGTTTATATTTGTGGTAAAAAATTATTTTTAACTAATGTTCAAAAGAATACTAATGTCTGACCTTTTCGAGTTGAAGGGAGTCTTGCATGAGCAGCATTGCTGGCATTGTTGGCATGGACATTAAGAGAGGACTGTTGGTATCTGCTTCATTCACTCTCTCCACCACTCCTGCAGTGGACACAACAGATGCAGTCATATAATACAATTCAATTATATAATTCTTAAATCATTTTTTAACCATGGAACTGCTTGATCTATTCTATTAAATGCCAGGGCATTTTGCCACAGTTTGCACTGTTAATTAAACCCTCCGGGCAGTGTCAAACATCGATACATCGATGGTAGTGCAGACGGACGGTTACATTTGGTCTTTTAACTCAGTCAATTTCAGTCCGATTTGGACTGGATCTATACGACTGTAAACATCAAAAAATTTGCTTCACCTGCCTGGAGTCTGTTTATATATCCTTACTTGTGTTTGTCTGTTTCTATGGTTCAAGAAAAAGTCATTGTTTTGGTGCTGTGCTGGGTGTTGTTGTTGTTAACAAGTTGTTCGTTGCTATATTTTCTTTATTGAAAATAGATTTTTATCTGTTTAGACTACGTATTTAAATGTACAAAATAATCAATAATGACTAACTTGCTGGTTTAATCTGTTTGCAGTAATGTTTATTTAAGGTTATTTGCAAAGGCAGTAAAGTCATTATAATGGGCCTAGTGAATGATTTTGCAACTATTCCTCTATCATATTTACAACTTATGTCTATCCTAAATACTAAAGTTTGTACTTTGTTATAATATTAAGAAATAAATGGCTATTTCAGATGTTTCATTTAGTTACATTTATTCATAATAGACACCAAAAATTTGTTTATTTTTATTTTGTAATTTCTTTTTCTAAGTACTTTTGAGTAATAAAATGGGTATAAACCCCAATTATTTATGCTGAATCATCATGTGCATGTATTTAGCTGCACAAATATATAAGAAGGTAGTTACTTTTCAAAATAAATTTGTTATAATTTTTAAAAACATTGCTGCAAAATGTCCGAAAACCGACCGACACCAAACACAAAATGACTGACACCAGGAGGGTAAAAAATGAATGCAAAATATTTCTAATAAGAAGAAAGTTATAGGGGCGTACTATATTATAAATGATTTGTTTCAGAGAAAAAACAGAGAGAATTATCCTTGACATTACACAGAATAGATTTCGCATGTAAATTTAAAATTTTAAGCCAAGAAAAAATATGAAATTCAGGACCATCTTACCAGAGGGTACTAGTGCATTGGGTTTTTTGGGATACTGAAGTAGACGTCCCATCTATATGGACCAGCTGTAGCATATTTTTTGTTAAAAAAGAATGTAGTTTTGCGAGCCAGTCACAGAATACATTAGTGACTAAAACTCTATTTTCAACCTTATTTTTTGTTGTTGGCCAAGTTGATGCCAGTTGCTAGAGCTCACAAAAAGTAATTAGTTTTAATTGGCAAAAAATATTGAGTATTCAACAGAAATCAGTAATTTTGATCAGCACAATCAACTACGCTCACATCAACTACGACAATTTTGATAGAAAACTGGCTATAATATTGAGGTAGGTATAATTACCTCGTCAAGTAATCCAAATGTTGCTCATGTGAGGTTAAAAACCTACCTACATGTTTTACTGTTAATACGGCATCGTCAGAGTATACATAACACAAAAGACATTACTGTCACACGCACACGTCACAATAAATAAATAACACAAAACGAACATTTAGATAGGCCTATCACACGACGGGGACGGTATGGGCGCAGGTAGTAGGCTGCAGTGTCAGACTCCTTCCTCGTTGTTGTCCACGTAGGACAAAGGTCAGATGGTCAGTTACTTTGGTTTATTTTATTTATTAACATTGAAGATAGAGTGTGAACGGAACTGCAGTTTTTCATTCAGGATATGTCCACTTGTGATGTTGTTGTGGTATAATTTGTAGATTTCAAATTCCTCAAGCGTGTTTAATTTACTTTTCTGCGTACATGTAGCAGCTCTAGAAAAATTGTATTGAATTCTCAAATTCAGGTACTAAGTCTGAGATATGTGACACTTGTATTGTTGGCAAAATGCATCGGTTGAGTTTTGGAACTCGTAAAGAACTTGTTAATCAACCTGGTGATTGCATAAGTGCTGATGTTTGTGGCCCAATGCCTGTGTTATCAGTTGGGGGCAATCGATATTTTGTTGACTTCAAGGAGCCTGTGGAACAAAACAAAAAGTTTCCTACAACTGAAACCAACTCTTCAACAACTGCAAGTTTACCTGACAAAGAAGGACAGAGGTATAGTTTCAGAGACAGATCAAAATTGAAGCCTCCTGTGAAACTTGCTGATTGTGCCCTTCTGACATGTGTTGCAGAACCTACTAAGTGCAAGAAAGCGGTGACATGCAAGGATTCTCATCATTGGGTCAAGGCGATGGATGAGGAAATAAAGGTGCTTAGTCCAGTGTTCTGGTGTAGTAAACGTCAGAAATGTGTAGCTTTGTCAACTACAGAATTTGAGTTGATTGCTGCAGATTGCTGCAAGTTTGGCTGTAGGGGAAGCAGTGTGGCTCAAGAGAATACTTCAAGATGTAAGGATACATGAGCAGCAGTTTTCTTGTCTGAGTAAAGTGTAATTTTTTAGGGGAAGTGTTGAGATAAAAAATGATTTACTCAGTCAGTTACAGCTGTATATGAAATTCTTATTATTGTAATGTTTGTTATGTTTAAGTTGTTATGAAAACAAACTACTAGTCTATTAAATGGTTCTCTAACAGTTCTTACTTTTCTTTATATCCCACTAGCAAAATCAGTTTATTACAACACTCTCAATTGTGCTGTTCTTGTTGTATTTTGTTGTAACTTTTTACTTTTAGTTTTTATAACTTATTGATTGACCATGCATCTGTTCACCATTGCTGTAGTAAAAAACATGTGTCTTCAATTCTTTATTATTGTTTTGTTGTGTTTGTAAACAAATCCATTATAATTTAATGTAGTATTGTTCAAGTTATTAAAAACCTTTCTAAAGGTGATAAAAGTTCTTTTTTCATTCATTCATACTCTCATTACAATTTTAATAACTTGATATTGTGAAATGAATACAATCCTAAAGCCAGAAAAGTTTAGTGTAGATCCAAACTCATCATCTGCAAGTAAGGAATGGACACATTGGCACAAAACGTTTCAGAATTTTGTTACCAGCATTACACCACAACCATCGGACTCCGATAAACTCAAAATACTTATAAACTTTATTACTCCGGAAATCGACGAGTACATAAGTGAAAGCGGTACGTATAACGAAGCTATATCTGTGCTAAGAAGTATCTATGTAAAACCTGTAAATGAAATATATTCTAGACATAAACTATCTGCACGTCAGCAGCAACCTGAGGAGACTATTGACCAATATCTCCAGGCTTTAAAATTACTAAGTAAAGACTGTCAGTTTAAAGCTGTCACAGCTGAAAAGAATAGGGATGATTATATCCGTGACACATTTATTGCTGGAATAAAATCTTCTGCAATTCGCCAGCGCTTACTAGAAAATGTTTCGTTGACACTAGATCAGGCATATAGTCAAGCCAGATCCCTAGAACTTGCACATGAGCAATCATTAGCTTTTCAATCTATAGTAAATGCAACTTTGTCCCAAGAAACTCAAGCGAGCAATCAGAATGTTGCAACTTCAAGCAGTTTAGAAAAGTTTTCTCTAGCTGCTGTGACTGAAAAATGTTTCTTTTGCGGTAATCTAAGACATCCTAGGGTCAAATGTCCAGCTAAAAATGCAATTTGTCATAACTGTGGTAAACAGGGGCATTTTACTAAGGTCTGCAGGGCAGGTAAATTACAAACCAAGCAATTGGATAAATCTAAAGAAGTAATGAACTCTATTGACCTAGCAGCTTCGCCTGGTGGGTTAACAAAGAGTACAGTACAAGCCCTAGTTAATGGTAAATCTGTCTCTGCTTTGATAGATACGGGAAGCTCTCTAAGTTTCATAAACAAATCTACTGCTCTTAATTTAGGTATTCCTATAAAACCAGGTAGGGGTACTGTCTCAATGGCTACTACATCAATCACATCCGACATAACAGGTCAATGCAAAGTAAATCTTGTCATTCTTGATCACTTTTACAAGCAAGTCAATCTTTCATTGTTACCAGATCTTTGTGCAGATATAATTGTTGGACATGATATTTTGAAAAACCATGCAAGTATTAAAGTAGTCTTTGGTGGCAACAAGTCACAACTAACTGTATGTAGCGTGGCAGCCTCAACTGTAGAACTGGTATCTTTGTTTTCTAATTTAAAACCGGAATGTAAGCCAATCGCAATCAAGTATCATCGCCATATCACCGATGATTTAAAGTTTATTGAAAACGAAGTAAGTAAATTGCTTAAAGACGATGTTATAGAGCCTAGTATGTCTCCATGGAGGGCTCAAGCATTAGTAGTTACTACTGAAAATCATAGAAAAAGAATGGTCATTGACTACTCCAGAACTATAAATCGTTTTACATTACTGGACGCTTACCCACTACCTAGAATCGATGATATCGTTAACAAAGTTGCAAATTATGAGTTTTTCAGTACTATCGACTTGAAAAGTGTGTACCACCAAGTTAAGATAAGAAATGAAGAAAAGCACTACACAGCTTTTGAGGCCGGTGGTCAACTCTACCAGTTTAAGCGTATCCCGTTTGGGGTCACTAATGGGGTGGCAGCATTCCAACGTGTAATTGACCAAGTTATCCAAACAGAACAGTTACAAGACACTTACGCCTATCTTGATGATGTCACAATCTGTGGAAAAACACAAGAACAACACGATATAAACTTAAAAAAGTTTATTGAAGCTGCATCCAAATACAACCTAACTATTAATAATGAGAAGTCTTCATTTTCACTGCGATCGATCAACTTGTTGGGCTATCATATATCAAACAAAACTATCAAGCCTGACCCCAGTCGACTAGATCCTTTGAAAAATTTACCTCCGCCCAGAGACACCGCATCACTGAGGAGGACCCTTGGTATGTTTTCACATTATGCATCACTTATACCAGATTATGCTGCCAAAGTGATTCCACTTGCACGTACTACATTCCCTTTGTCCAAAGCAGGGCTCCAGTCTT